ACAACGGTTTTCTTCTACCCAAATTAAGAAAACACCTAGGACCAGGGCTGGCAGGCACGTTCATGGCCTGCACGTCTGGGTGCTTGAAGTACATGTCACCTGCACGAGTGCACGAGCCAATTCACTTGATTCCATGCAGACACTATATATAACTGCAGCCTCCAACAGACAGGATCTTCCACCCCATCTTGGCCGACCAGGAAATCGTGGTGCCTGCAAAACAATTGCAACCAAATGAAAGGCTATATATCCATATCACTTGCATGGGGGCACCGGCCTTCATCATTCTTGTATTTCCCCCTCCCGGACTTCGAGAAGTCCATGTGGAGCTGCAGCCGCTCCACCACATCGGCCGGTTATTTTTGGGGCGGTGGCATGTGTGTGCATGTGGTTGTACAGGGGCCCCACCTCCACAGCGGAGGGAAGGCTTCGCGACAAGAAGCTAAAGGACATCATCACTCCCAAAAACCACGGCAGCTTCACAAGCCAAAAGAGCTGAAAAAGCAAGCATGGCGCAGACGTGGCACCCACTGCAACAAGGGCAAATGTGCATGCAGAAACACGACACCAATGTTCAGAGAGCTTCGGTCGATGTCGTCTGTCCAAAGACAGCATCGGGCAATCAAAGTGTGGAGCCGTTGTGAGTTTGCATCATTGACAGTAATATATACATATGTATATATATATATATATATATTTTTTTCACGGTGTGTTGATACATACTATACATCAAGTATACACATTGCATGGATGCACGGAAGATACATGCGAGACTGCATGCAGAATCACTTCTTGGCCTTGGCCGGGGAGCCAACGATGCCCTTCGGGGCCGGGTTCTTGGCCGGGGAGCCATTCAGGATGCTCTTCAGGGCCGTGCTCTTAGCTTTTGCCTTGGCCTTGCCCTTGGCTTTCGCCGCTGGAACCTTGGCCTCCTTGTCGGAATCCTCGCTGGCATCGGTCTTGTCCCGGGAGCTGTGCCTTCTTTTCTTCCGATCGACAGGCATTTGTTGATTCGCCTGCTCCATGAGCCAATTGAAATTTTCGGAGAGCATCTCCACGAAGATGCTCCCGGTAGACAGGCCCTCGCTGAGGATCGACAGCTGAAAGCCATCGATCGTAATGTCGACGATCGCCGGCAACAGGTGCACGTGCTTGGCCAAAGCCTTCACCTTATCCTTCTTGCTTTTCTTCTTCTTGGGCTCGTCGTCGGCTTCATCGTCCCTCAGGGCCTCTTCCAGCAGCTTGTCGCAAGCAGCCTGCCTCTTCTCGATCAAATCGTCAAAGAGCTTTATGTTCAGCGACCCCGATGATTCCCCTTGGCCGGACCGCAAGTCCAGTCGTTTGCCTGTGATCATTTTCACAAGCTGCGGGGACCATTTCGAGACAGCACAGAAGACCCGGTCGTCGACACTCTTTTGGGTTGGCATCCAGCTTCGGTCACCCAGCACGACAACCTGTTTCGTCACAATCTCGAAGCAAGCCATGATGATGCGATGCACGGGGGAAATGGTTTGATGCGAGGCTGGAGCTGTTTTCTGCCGGCGAGCACACATGCCCTGCCTAGGCGAAAACGACACATCCATGCAAGCAGCAACTTCAACAATGCACCTGCACTTCATCACGGGCGATGCATCCTGCACTTGCATACAGAAGCATATAAAGCTGCACTGCATTTCCATCCGCAAAGCACAAGCTCGCACACCTGAGGGATCCTCGCACCATGCAGCTGCACAGAACACTCTATGAATGGTCGCTCTATAAAAACCATGCCCCTCGGATGCTTGCAACCTGCAACAATTGTACATATCCTTCTCCGCAATGCATTAGAAACAGACCTCACATATACATACAATGGAATCTTTCAGATACTGCAAGCTCAAGCAATGGCTGCTGCTGGTATAGCAGCACACTGGACTGCATACGGATGCCGAAACATCACTTCTTCTGAGCCTTCTTGCTGGAGCCACCTGAGCTCGCCGATGCTCTTTTCTGCGCCGAAGTCTTGTGGTCGTCCTCCACTTCCTCCAAGGGAGCCACCTGCACCGTTTTAGATCTGAAAGCCACAATGGGGCTGCCTTCCGGGATCTTCTTGGTGTTCTTAAAAACCGGAATCTTGATGCTCTTCTCTGTTCCCGCAATCCAAACAAGCTTCACATTGCAATCCTCTTCCTGATGGCTGTGCTGCACCAACCAAAAGGGAACTACCACATGTTTGCAAGTGTCGTCGTCGTTATCTTTGGGTAGAATGTTGGCTCCGGAAAGCCAAAACTTGCGGTCGTCTCCTTGCCAGTCCGTCTGCACCTCAAACATGGTGTTGCCTTGGCCCTGGGATTTCTGCACGACCTTGTTGGTCATGGGCACCATGCAGAGTTTCTTGATGTCCGAGTTGGCAAGCAACATCCTCGAAGGCTTCAGCTGCAATTTCAGGTGCTCCGATCCACACTCCATGGACTGGTGAAGCTTGTAGAGCTCAAGCTGAATCTTCGATGCAAGAATGCTGGCATCAAAATCCACATGGTGCTGGTACTGGTCCAAGCTGTCTAGCATTGTGGGCTGCACACGAGGAACAAACACGACCCAATCTCCAGCCAGGATAACATTGAGATCCACCTTGGCCGTCTTTCCCGAAGCCATCTTCACAAAGACCATCTGACCTTTCACTTCTGAAAGAACTCCCTCGATTTTGTCAACCTTGCGACGGATGTGTGCACCCATAGCGAAACCCTTGGAGGCCAATATCTTCTCAGGTTCCTTGATACTGCCGTCTTCAGCAAGCTCAAGCATCACACCTGCAGCAGAAGGCTGGGAAGCAGTCGCTGCAGTTGCAGCTGGTTCACTTTGCTCAGACACCGACTCCCATGGCAAAGGGAGTGCAACACCGGTCAGGTTTCTTGCCACGAGCAAAAAATCGTGCCCAATCGCTTGGACTGTTTTGTACTTTTTCTCGTCCGGCACCTTGATGCCGAGGACGTGCGATGCTATCGTCATATCCATAGTGGCCAGAGCTTGCACGACCCGCGAATCCGTCATGAAATCGCGAGCTCCATCCCTTAAGATGCCCCTGACCGTGAGGATCATGTTGTCAGCTTCCTTGACCTTGGGGAAGAGTTCTTTAGAAGTCATCTTCTTCACATCAGCAATGGTCACATTCTGCCTCAAGTATGCCTGCTTCATGAGTGCATGGCGAAATGCTGCAACGGGATCTGACTGGTGCCCTCGGCAATCTTGCCCGAAAGCCTCCCACAGGACAGGCCCCAATTGCCGAGAAGAAGGGCAGTAAGCCCGCACAAAGGACTCCGTCTCCTGAAGGAAGCTCGCATCGGCACCCCCGGAAGCCTTCAGACAAAACGTAAACATGTGGGGTACGGAGGCATGGCAGCTTGGTTTGCTGGCCAATATCAACTTCTTCAGAGATGCAAAAGCCGGTGCTTGGCCAGTCTGAGTCTGCAAGCGGTAGTACGTGGAATGGATGCGACGGAGTACTTGTAGCTCATGTTCTCCTCGTTGAAGCGATGTGTTGCCTGACCGGGATATCAAGCTGATCAGCTCTGGGAACTCTTCCGCCACGGAGGAGGAGATCACGTCCCACGTCAGGCCTTGATCAGCTGCTTCGTGGAACGAAGCATCCCGAGCACGAAGAAGCTCCATGCTGAGCTTTCCACCCACACTCACGACCTCGTTGCCGTGGCTTGCACCTTGTTGAAAAAGTCGCAAAGCGCAATTGGTATGTGATCCGCAGATCGAAGTGATCTTGATCGCTTCCGGCTCAAGGCTTCCGAGAAGACCGTGGGCTGACTCGAACAGCTTCTTGTTCCACTGCCGGACCCAGTCTCCTTCGACTTCGACACCGACCGCATGCACACGTGTGGGGACATAGCCCACATCGACAATCGAGTCCACAAGATCACGAACGTCTTGTGGATTCACTCCGTACCCATCCCGGTTGCAGGGATGGATCCCCACAAGGCTCGCCTCCAACTTCATGGAGGTCAAGAGATGCTTGGACTTCAAGTAGTTCAAGCAGTTCTCCACGATTCGGACAAGGCCGTCGCCATCCGAGGCTTCTCGAAGGAAAGCCTGCAGCCGCTCTCGCACATCCGACTGCAAAGGCATGATGGGCAAGCGAGATGGAGGACGGAGCTGAAAATCTGCCTGCGAGCCAAGGGCCCTGCAATGGCGATAGATGGCTGCAATGCATGGAGTCATGCACAATACACAGAAGGCAAGCATGCGAGCATGTCCTCAACACATGCAATGCAGCAGCTTTCCATGCAATTTTCAATTGCATCCTGAATACATGCGGCAGGAGATCTCCATGCAAGCTTCCGTTTGAAGCTTTGCAAATGCCAGGAAAACAACTTCAAATAAACAACTTACACCACTTACCTAAATCAGTTACACAAAGTTATCTAAGTTTGGCAAGTTGCTTAAAAGACTTGTTCTATCTTACTTATAAGTTCCACCCTGCTTTTGGCTAAGTGACTCAACTGCTTGCTCCACTTCTTAATTCAAGCCTCGGACTTGCTAAGTTGTCCATACAACATAGTATATATACAGCACTTATAACTCATGTTAACGAACTTGTAACTCAACTTAACCTGATTGTCTAAATCTCCTAAACCATGTATTCGATTACTAAACACCCCGCCCCTTCAAGTAGTTTGAAGGAGCGACGTGCTGGTCAGGCCCCAGAGTTCATCATTCAAGAGCATCACTCTGGTTTCGCAGTTCGGCTTAGGGCATAAGGTTGAAGGATGATGCCTTTTTCAACGAAGATTTGCGTTTGACGGCTTTAGAGTGCACACCTCCTTGGCAGCAAGCCCAGCAATCCATACGCGTTTGTCCTTCTGCCTTTCATCGGGCATGGCCACGTTTGCTGTTGCCCTGTCCCGGTTGCACCCTTGTCAAGGGGCTTCAACGATACAAAGCCTTAAACGGCCCTAACACTCTTAGGATCCATTCAAAGTCATAACCAAATACTGTAGCGGTGTGCGCTTCAGGTGCCGTCGTGGAGGATGTGCCAGCCCCAGAGGAAACAACGTCTAGTTGTCAGGCCTTGCATTGAAGCGACGCGGTCTACAGTAAGTTCGAGTGCTCAGGTCCCAAGTTGCAGCTGAACATGAAGGGTTATAAAACGACCCGGAGGTTCGTTTTTTTTTTTTTAACTTCGTTGTATCCCGAAGAACATGTTGGAAGTGGTGTGGGCATTTTGTCTGCCATGATTTGTTCAAGAAGCTCCCGGGGTAAGTGGAAAATGGATGCTGTGCAAACCCTGGGGCCCAAGCCCAGAGAGCCAAAATCTGTTCCATGGACCTACTCGAGCTTTCACTGCTTAGCATTGGTTTGCGTTAAGATGCTTTCGGGCTTTGAGTTAGAGGGTCTCGATGGGGCGGGCATCGAGTCTGGACATCATCGGGACCTGGGGCTGCATGTAAATCTCAAGCTTCGAACCTGAACTGGACGCTTAACCCCAATAGGGGGTCACAAGTAGATGGCATCCGCGAATAGCTTCCATATGCCTGAAGACGTTGCTTTAGGCCGGCTTGTGGTGGTAACAAGTAAGTACTTGTGACCCCCTAAAACTCCAAACTCGCAGCACAATAATTATCGTTTTTGCACCCGGCGAGCGACAGCGATGGAGGTGTTGAGTCTTGAGCCGAAGAAGCAGATTAGAATGCACGGTTGCAGTACGTGCTTAGTGTGAAAATCCTTCGAAGACCCAAAGACGGAAAGGTCAGCTTTGACTATCAGGGCCTTGCCAACCTTGAGGCGTGGATGAGTTTAAGGTTTAGGGTACGAGGTGTATTGGAGACTTGTCTCACAGCCTGAGTTTCACAGGTTCACAGGATTGTACCCCTGACATTCCGGATATCTAGATCGCATGTATGCTTCTATGTATGTGTTTGTGGATGTATGTTTCTTTGTCTGCCTGAGCACAGGCCATGACAAGAAACAGCCTCGTCTAGTTTATTGTATAGACCTTAAGGACCTTCATTCGGAGAATGTGGCTCGAAGCCAATCACAACAGCGCGCATCATCAGCACAATGCACGAAATGCCCTCAGTATCATCCCTCATTCCCGTAAGTCGCCACCCCTGCAACACTCAGTTTGAATCCTAGCCCGCATTGAAGCTTCGGGGTTAATTACTGGGTTCCAGCTGACCCTCCGTGCAAAAGGATGTAGGGTTTAGGATTCAGAGGATTTACGGGTCTTGTGGCTAATGAGCTGCCAACCGATGTGCTCTGTAGACTCAGGGCCCTCTTGTGTAGCCTTGAGTGTAGAGTGCAGGTGAAGTGGACGGCCAGAGCAAGGGCGCAAGAGTCCAGCAACCTCTCCGTGGTCGAAAGCAAGGCGGCCTGTTCCGACAGTAGTAGTTCCCTTCATCCCTTTGCATTGGGTTTTTCCCTATGGGAACTGAATAATTACGATAACATGTCCCCTTCATTATCTGGTGAAACCAGTTTGGGGTTCGGGGTTTAGATAATAGAGGTCGAGCAACACCAACAGAAAGCAAGATAACATCAGCACAGAACTGCATGTGAAAGCGGCGGAAGCCAGGAGGTTCCGAAGATTCAGATCCCTAGACCATCCACCACATCTTGCGGAAGCCGCAAATATAGATAAGAACGAGACTCCGTCTTGACATTTTTTGTGAGCATGGGAGCTATTTTCCGCAAGGGCCCATGAACTCTAGCGTGAGCCTGGGCTAGTGCTTTGTGGAAGTTTTCCATCGACAGCCAATCGACAATTTTAATATTTATACGAATACTATAATACCAATGTAATACCAATACTAATACGTAATATACTCATACGAATATTAATAGTAATATTTACGTGGTGGGTGCGATGATGGCTGGGCTCATCGGAACCAGTCAGAGGAGAAACACTCGGCGACAGGATGCTTTAAGGGTACAAGGCGCGGGAGCCCTTAATAAGGACCCTTAGGTATGGGTTTAGGGTTTAGGGAGCCCTTAATAAGGACCCCTAGGTATATACCCTTAATATAGCCACGGTATCCCCATTATTTAGCCCATTCTAGGGTAGGGGTCGCCATTAAGGGTCCCTCCTTTTCCCCTTTTGAGATGCGTGGCTCCGTGAAGCCGGAGCCTTCCTGTTAGTAGCCTTTTTCCAAAAAGAAACCCCAAACTTGGATACTGCCCCCTCTCAGTAACAGTTGGGTAATCTTCCTAATATAGATATACTGTAGGCCCTTATAGTAGTAGCCTTATTATAGACTGCTAGTGTATAGGGGCAGTACCCAACCCCAAAGCGCAGGGCAGATACTCGAACACCCAGATCGGATCTCGAGAGTTCGAAGAGCCCCTAACCCAAACATCCCCCGAGCTCTTAGGATCAGAGCGGAGACCCGACACCCAAGCCCATGAACCCGAGTGGTTTAGGGTTCTTGGGGTCTTGGGTATAAATGAAACTCCCTGAGAACGACGCGGCTTCCTGTGAAGGCGGGGCAGCTTCTCAGAGCTGAGTGGAGTGAGGCACCGGGTGTTGAAGGATTTCTGGGATCATTTGAGATATGTTTGGGGGCTTGGGGCTTTACGTTTTAATTCTTAATCAAGGTTTTTTTGGGGAATTTGCTTTTGTATGGGGATTTTGGATGTTCAGGGCTTAGGGGCAGTTTGGGACTGAGGATGTCATTATGTTGTTGTTCACCGTCGTTACAATGGCTTACAACGGTTTTCCATTCGAGTTCATATTACATTCATAGTCAGGGGTTCTTATGAAACGTTCTTATGAAGGGGTTTCTCTTAAGCGGTTCCTTTGAAGGACAACCCGTTAGGTCGAAGCCGTCTTTGAATCGGAAATGATGTCTTTATATATGCATAGACTTTGTTGAAGAAGTTCTGTGTAGGAAGAATTGAACACATGTAGATACACACCGGAGTAAACAAGCCATCTGCATGAACACATGAACGTATAAATAGAATGAGTATATATACAGATGTATACAGGTACTATAGGTATAAATACGCGCATGCAGCTCATGGTCTCAGAAAAGTCTCCTCCCAGGGCTCTTTCTCGGAGTTTCGCCTCCCAGCGGCTCTGGGCGCGGCCCGGGCGCCCGCAGACGTCGCAGCAGAGACGACTTTCGCTGTTTTCGCGCCGCCCGGGACGATCTGAGTTTTCGGATGTTGGTGCCCTTCTAACATAACGGCTTAAATGATTACCCATACTATTTTGGGGGTTGCTTGTTATACTTATAGTATACTGGGCCCCAAACCCTGCCTTAATTATTGAGGTCCCTATGTAATTTGTGTTTTTGGGTAGCGTTTTTGAGGGGAGCCGTGGACTCTTCGGCTTTGGACGCCTCTAGACACACGTAAATAATGTCGCAGCAGCAGCATCTGTAGTAGCAGTGGTCGTCCGCCGCTACTACTGCTGCTGCTGCTACGACCAATACCACTACTACTGCTACTACGACTACTACTACTACTACTACCACCACTACCACTACCACTACCACTACCACTACCACTACCACTACCACTAGCACCACCACCACCACCACGACCACTACCACTACCCCTACCACTACCACTACTAATACTACTGCTACTACTGCCACCGCTGCCGCTTCTGCTACTACTGCTATCGCTACTGCGACTGCTATTGCTACGGCTATTGCTACTGCTACTGCGAATACTTTACTCCAAGTTTCTGAGGATCTCGAACTTCGCGGTTGTGGGCACTGAGGCGAACAGGCCGGAGTTGTAGGATACAGACGCGTTTCACTAGCTCCCAGTCGTTGGCTGATTGGAGGGATTAGCTTCAGAACAATTTCCACAAGGCTCCCCTGGGTTGAAGGGATGTTTGCTCGGAAGGGTTGCTGAAATGCTTGCCTTAAGAGGTTCGCCATGGGTTGATCTTCGCGAAGCTTGTCTTGTGGACTTGGGGCCTTCAGGCTCACATGTCCTATTCTCGCCTTTGGGGAGATACCTGTCTTGCGTCACGCTGCTCCGATGTCCAGGCTTCACAGGTACAAGTTTGGATGGCTTTGGATCGGAGCATACATGGAGGAGATGTAGCAGGGGTCAGTCCACTGCGTCTAGTCATGGCCTGCCCAGCTTTGGCTGTCTTGCCTAAAACTCAAGCAGCAACGCCTTCACATAGTTTTGCGGGATGCGGGGTGAAGCCGCGAAGGAGCTGGTGAGATCGAAGAGGCATGTGCACGAAAGCTCTGACAGCTTAGCTTTGTAGGCACCCCTCACGCAGCCATCCCAAAAGTAGAAGCAGACCAAGTTCCGACACCTGAATCTGTCTTCATTTCCTGAAAGCTTGGAGCCTTCTTAACCTAAAATGCGTGTGAAGCTCAAAGCGGGTAGTGGATGCTTGACAGTTAGTGCTAGGGTTTCTTTAGGGAAACGTTGAAAAAAGAAAGTACGTACCACATGCTCTCAAACTCTGTTGTACCTAAACCCTAAACTACACTAAATGCCACCTCTGTACCCAAAGGCCCCAAAGTAGTTCCTTGTTGGGGGTTCATATTTCGCATCCTATAAGGTAATCCCAAAAAGGAACTACTTTGGGGCCTCTCTGTAAAGACGTCACAGGCTCCTGAGCCAAGTGTCGGAGTGCGCAGCCCAGCTGCACTGCAGCGGCTGCCGGGTGTCAATGTAACTCGGCAGAATCTCCGGGGAGGTACTATAGTAAGGGGCCTAAAGAATATCGTTCCCTATACTATTGTGGGGCGTTCCTCATATTGTTCTATTTATACAGTGTAACGGGTCCCAAAACTCTATTCAAATTATTGAGACCCCTATACTAGGGTTCAAGCTGTCAGTTTGAGAAGAGTGGGATGCAAGTCTTCTAATGTGCATTGGTCACTCTCGGCTTCGCTAGTGGCTTGCAATGGCAAGCCCGTGTCTACGCCAGCTTGATTTCGGTTAACTGCTCAAGTGATTCACGTGTAGATACGGTGTATGTATGTATACATATATGTCATATCTATATGACTGGCATCTCCTCCAGGCGTTTGATTGTGTGTTCGACAGGCGTATGTGGTACCAGTACCTCACACAGTTGTCAGCCTTCGGTACTGTACCTTGTTCCCTACCGTTCGGCTTGCATTGTTCGTGTAATCAATGCGTACTATAACATGGAGATCCTGTCCTCAGGCTTTAGGCCACAGGGGTAAGATAGTAACATCTAGAAAATACTAAAGCAGCTTCAATAATTTGCAATACTGCCTCTTGTTGGGAGTAGTCGTCGTGGCTGGATAGGTTCGGAGGCTTGCTGCCTTGTGGTTTCGGATGAAATCATACCATTTCTTGCAACTGCTTGTGGTGATAAACACGGGCGTATAATTCTGGACTACGGCTTGGGTGGTTTCTGTATTATAAATGTACTGGGGTGTCCCACGGAATAATGTCACTATGTACCCAAGACCCTAATTACACGAAGTAGAGGGCTTTGAGTGTTAGGCTGTGGCCGAAATTCCGCACTTTGTGTTTGACTCCATTGTAACGCCATTGCAGTTTCTGCGCACAGCAATTGCTGTGAAGCCCGCATGCTACATCTAGTACAACGGTTGATGATATAAATCCTGCATTACCCATAATAAGCAATATACCATAATTCCCATAGTTTTGGGTCCTTAAGGTAATGCACGATTTATATCATCAACAGAAGTACTCTTAATTCCTAAGGAATCCACCAAGCGCTAGACCTTGATCTCCGATACTCTACGCATCAAGCCCCGAATCCCTAAACTCCACACCGACAATTCGCCCCCAGAGCCCTATATTCTGTGATAGGATCCCTCTAAAACCCTGCAGGACTCGCCCAAACCCTATCAACTCTAAACCTAAACCCACCTGTGTGAGTGTGCACTTCGAAACCTAAAGCCGAACCTTAAACCAGCCAAAACCCTCGACCCATGAGAGGACCGTACAAGAACCATGTGTGAGTTTCCGAAATTAGGGGTACCTTATTTTGGGATCCGTACAAAAAGGATCCTACAATTTAGGGTAGTATCTTAGGGTCCCCTATTTTGGGAACCGCTCTGAATGAAACGTATGAAACTTAGGGACCCCAAAAGCACATAAGCATAAGCATTTTATAGGGGACATCCCTACCATATTGGGCTTCATTATCAGGCGGTTTTATACGGGACATCCCTAGCCTAATTTTTGCCCCTAAACCCTAAACCCTAATTTTTGCTGTTTTGGGGGCCCGACACTCCCAGGATGCCCATTGCGCTGGGAGGCGGCGACAGAGGCCTCCGATTGGCCGCTGCTTTGCGGGAGCTCTCTACCGGAGGCCCTCTTTGGTTTAGACATGTTCTGCAGGGGTCATACCTCGTAATTGCAGTCCGTTATAAGTTATAGGTGCTTTGTGAATTCCGTATGTTTATAGTATAAAAAAGTTACAAGAAAACCTGAGCTAGTTATTAAGGCCCTTATACTAGGGTGTGCGAGAGAGGGGGCCGGTTTCGAAGGAAGTTCCCCGGGTTTTGAGGGGATTTGTTTTGGATTCAGCAAAGTTGAGGGTGCGTTTGGGTTTGGGGACTTTGCGTTTAGGGGTTACGGTTTAGGGTTCAGCTTAGGGGATTTGGGGGGTTTAAGGGTTACAAGCCTAAACTGTCCGACTAAGCCCTAAACCCTAAACCCTACAAGCTCTCAATTCCGAGGAGCGCCCTGGTACCAGCCCTTCCACGGAGCTTCGGCATCCAGTGAGATGCCGGCCCTCACCGAGAAGCTTCGTGAGGCCATCTAGAGTATATGGGCAACGTCTGCAGAGTTTTTTTTTTTTTTTTTTTTTTTGGGGGGGGGGTGTTGAAATGTTTAGGCTTGTATACAGGTCTAATTCGGAGAGCTTCAGGGTTTGTAGTTTTTTTTCAGGGTTTCAGTTCTACTTCAGAGAGCGTGTTTTCATAGGGGCGTAGGTTGCTTGGGAACAGGATCGAATTCTTGAAGCGTGCTGGGCTACTTCTTGCATGTTTCAGGACATGCATGTTTGGGAAACAAATTCAATGAGCTTGAAACAGGAAGGGAAGTTTGCTTAATCCGGAGCACGGAGACACTAAAGTTCTAAAGTTTACACCGAAGCTGAGCTCAGTGTTGTCACGTCGATTGCTCGTTTACTCCATTGGGCATTACGCCTTTAAACTTGAACTCAAACTCTGATGATAATTACTTCACCTAATCCGAAAAACCCCTAGCCAAAGTTTGTAGGTCCTGTAGGGTTGCTGTTTCTTCGGGTTTTGGGCTTCGGGACTGGGGCTTTGAAGTTGGAAGTTCAAGGGTTGATCTGCCCAAAGACAATCTACCAGACGTCACCGTGATTTCTGTGGGAGAAGAACGCTGAAATGTCCTATCTTGAAGTTTTGCGTTGGACGATTGAATGTTGGTGGGCTCTTTGGGTTTCCTTGTGTTCCTGTCAGGAAGGCCGTTCGCGCCCCGGCCCCAAACTACCATGCAGATCCCATAGCAACCTTCCAGAAAACCGTAGCAACAAGCCTTCAGAAACCCCCCTTTAAGCCCGGTTCCGCACACACAACAAGCTGGAAGACTGGTGAGAGTTTACGGATTTCCTAAAACGAGAAGAAGAAAGAGTTCAAGAGAAACTGGCAACCTAACCCCTGCATGCTACACCCTGAGCCCCAACCCCTAAACCTTAATCCGTGAAGTTCTAAAGCTAACCTCATGAATCCGTGCCCGTGTTGAGCGAGTGTGCGAGTCGAGAGCCGTGAAGCCTCAACCCAACATCCCTGAAAGCATTTCGAGCACCAGGAGATGCAGGACTGGAGGACGAAGAAATCTGCGCGGGTGACTTGGCAATCTTGCTAAGTGTGTGACAATATAGGGGCCTCAATAACCAGAATAGGGTGTGGGGGTATATACGTGATAAGGAACCCCCAGAACCCTGTTAGGGCCCCTACAGTACCCCTTAATTAAAACGGAATATGGTTTGGATAGCATATCCTCACGTCATGCATCCCCAGCAGTCGACAGCAATTCGAAACCATGAGCTCAAAGCTGTTTGGTCAGCGACGAGCTAGTCAGATATTCGAGAGTTGTGTTTTAGTCGGACAGTGTTGATTCTGGCATAAACAACCTTCGTAGCTCACGGGATCATGGTGTTCAAGGTGGAAGGGTTGACACACGGGATGCTCAAATATGGGCTCAAAACGACACGTGTAGAATCGCGCAGTTTGGAGGAAACCTGGACGTTTCGGGGCAAAGGCATGTCGGATGCAAAGAAGCCGTCAAAACCAGATTTAGTCCTCAAATAAAAGGGTCTGCAGGGGCATCTGAAACATTTTAAGGATATCCTCAAGCTTTTTGTCTTACAGATCTGAAAAAACCCTCCACCCCAAATCCTAAACCCTAAACTTCGAAGCCAGGGCAGCGTCACCATCGGACAACTGGCTGCCAAGCATGGCGAGGGATTTGTGGAGGCTCGGGGTGAAAAGCCCGAAGTCGGGCATTTCAAACTGCATAGTCCATAGTTTAACAGGTCATCGATGAACTTGTCTGATTTCTAGGGGTCAAGTACTCAGAAACTCAGTACTACTACTACTACTACTACTACTACTACTACTACTACTACTACTACTACTACTACTGCTACTTCTGCAGGTGAGCCTTCTATGATTGTTGCTTTCGCTATTCGTATCATAGGGGGAGAGGTTTCAAGAATGCGACCGAAGGGTTAACAAGTGCAGCGCAGAACAAGAAATTTGGCATCCGTCGGGCGTGGCTTGAAAATCCAATGCTCGGAGGGCATTTGATTAGTCGGACGAACTACTGTAGAGACCGGGCCGATAGACAATTTGATGCAGCTACAGTAATGTTCGCCTGAACGACATTGGTTTCGAGTTAATGAGCGCCTCAGAGAACTGGCCATGGGAGCATGCTGTAGTCCCGGGTATACTATATCATATCATAGTCTGCCATGTTATCTCATATTACATCATCTCATACCATGTTCGTTCATATCTAGCAACAAGCTGGGTCGTCCCGGCCCCACGAAATGATAGCTGCGCTCAAGCCTGTCTTCGACTCCATTCTGCAAGCCGATGAACCTTGGCTGGCCTTTCCGGAACCTTCATTCTAGATCACCCCGACTGCAAAATCCACTGCGCGAAACTCAAAGCGCCAACGCTTCAGAACCTACAAACCCTATAGAACCCCTCGGGTCCGAATCCCTTGTAACTTCATAAATAGTTGATGGTAGCCTTATAGAAGCCTCATAGTACCGGTTGATAGCATCCCAAGAGAGCGGCATTGAACTACTTCAGAGGATCCCTTGGCACTGCCCCGCTGGATGGCGCGGCTTACACCACCCTCGACCGAAGCGGAGGCATCTTGAGTTAAGAGTATAGGGTTCTGTCCCTTGATCCTACAAGGCTCAAAGGAATAACGGAAGCCTGATAGACGGGTCTATCTCTCATAGAGCAGGACACCATACTACTGCTAACTGTAAGCCTCCGAAAGTCGTGTGCATGTTCCTGTTCGGCTTGTCCAACGCTGGACTCGGCTTGGTAGGTGAGTCTATGATCAGCAGAATACAAATCTGTGTGCAGGGGTCTGAGCCGCGCAAAGGGAAGACGCAATGATGATCAAGATCATACGGCCACCTGAGGAAGATCTCTATTATGGTTCCCAGTCGTTGTCAGAAACCCGGCAAGCGGAAGCTGCAACAGTACCGCAGACCCCATACCACCACGTGGCTGAGCTGGCACCCACCACTAACGCCGCGCATGCAGGAACTGCATAGGGAACAGTGTCGAGACCTCCGCGCAGCCGTGAAACGAAACTCCAAACCCTTGATTCCTGTGAACTCGAAGCCCGCACCTTTGCACCTCCCTCAAGCCCCCAACCCAGCAACTCGAAACACAGAACCTGACACCTCAAAACCAAACTGGCGTCTTGGCTGGAGCGTCAGCGTAAGATCTGGAGATTGTTGGATGTAGGCTCTATATGGTAGAGTCGAGAGATTGGCACCTGCGATAGCTAGCCAACAGGCCGCGTACCACCCTCCGAGGAGCTCACCATACCCCTGACCTCAAATCTTAAACCGATCTTAAGCCGATCTAAAACATCTAAGGCTTCAATGCTTAGCTGCTAAGCCAAGGCCCCGAATTGCCTTGAACTCTCAAACCATAGACTGTGTGAAGGCGGCGGACATTGTGCAAGGCCAGTGCTTGCTTTTCAAGGGCGAGCCGCTTCAGCCGCATCGGGACCGTGTGGTTGAGGCTGTGGTGTGTGTTATTGCTGAAAGCTTTGCCCAGGCCACCGTGGGATTTTGTAGGGTAGGTCTCTGGCCTACGGTCTTGTATAGGTTCCGGGCCTCCAGCGCTTTGAAAGGAAGCCGCTTCACGCGTCCTGTTGGGGCCCAACTACCGTAACTTGCTGCAGCTTTAGGCTAATTCTGCCAGCATGATCAATGCGCTTTTCTTCTTACTCTTTGTTCTTCCGTACAAAGTGCAAAACCTTCACCACTGTGTTTCTCCGGCCTCCACAGCCCCTGGCCGTGGATTCTTTCCAGCCGCTATGTCAGCTATGTCACAAGCTTTGATCCTTAACTGCCGATGCTGAGCAGATGCGGGGTGCATGATACTCGTTCTGTGCTGACCACGGCGTGGGTGTGAAATCTCTAGTTCCTCAGCTTGTGCATGTCTGCTGCTCTAGAAGCCGTGTTTTGACTCTAGGCCAAACAAAGCTGAGGCTACCCCGAAGGGGAGTCTATGTTCAAGATGAGGAACACCGGCTGTTGGACCACTATCCGCCGCAGAAGTGCGACCAGACTACCTTGTCTTAACTCTCTACATAAGGCTTTAGGCTCACATCCTGAGGGTTGTAGGTTTCTGGGCTTAGGCTTGTTTTAGAGATTGGGGTTTAGCTCTCACCAGAAGATGTACACTATGTGGTTCATTGGCTTTTAAGCCTTCCCTCCTCTGTTAAGCTTCAAACTGACACCTGCAGGCTGTCATGTGCAGTAGTATGACTACCCAATATTTATCCTCAAGATTCCTTGGTCTAAGTATACTCCAAAGTAGCCCACAACCCTAGTCCAGCTAATAGGGCCCCTATATCAAGTCAGTATGTTGGCCACCTTTTTCAATCAATATCCTTAGCCGATCCATGCTATTTTCGGGTCGTACCGGAAGCGCGTACCCCAGCAGGGGTGGCACAAATACGGCATTGGCAATTGACCTTAAAGGTTTGACAAGCCCACGGAAGCAAAGGTTCTGGCATGTGCATTTATTACTCAACTTCATTTCTATGACTCGTCCTTGGCCTTATCGCTCTAAGCGAATGAGCCCGAGCATGCAGCCCGGAAATTGCCTTCGAGGTCAGCCCTGCCTGGACCTGGCATTGCTTCTCCCGACACTGTAAGGCTGCAAGAGCCGAACCATGTAGCCCGCAAAAGCGCTTTAAAGCTACAAGCAGACGAAATCCTCATAGCCCCCCTCCCAAAAAGACCTACACAGAACCGGGAGCCCCGACTCCCTGTCACCAAACCCCGAAGTTGCCAGCAGCCAGTGGAAGGACTTAAGAAGTTTCGAAAACCGAAGCCATCACTTCGAGCTGTTTTAACTTGGTTGGGTATGGTTGTATAGCCTTATATACTAGTACCGCAGTGAAAAGGCTGGCCTAAGCCTAATCTAAGCAACACAAGGTACAGCTCCAAGGCCTTTCTGACAGTACGAGCCCTTTCGATCTTTGAATCGCGCGTTTTTAGGTACAACACAAAGCCTTCAAAACCCCGCGCTCTGTGGGTAGCCCCTTGCGGTGTACGGTTGGCGCATCCCCTCTCCTGGTTCAACGCCCATGCGCACCGTGAACCTCATCTATTTGGCAAATCATAGTGCGAGCGCGTCAACCCATCTACGTCCCAAGCCCTGAACCCGAAACTGTCTAAACGATATCTAAACTATATATATATATATATATATATATATATATATATACGAAAGCCTAGACCCCCACACCGAGATGCGAGAGCGCAAACTCCTGAACCTTGAACCCCCCCAAAGAGCGGGTAGCTGGAGGCTCGCCCATCGTCCGTTAACACCGGTGCTAGTGGGAGTTTCCGAAAGCAGGAGACCCTAATATAGTACCCTTATTAGCCGGATCCTCATTATAAGGACCCCCAAAATAAGGCACCCCTTCTAGATCCCTTAACGGATCCCTATAGATCCCTAGAATAAGGACCCCCACAGACAAAAACGTACCCACCCCTCAGTTTCGGAAACCCCCCAAGTCAGGTTTTGAGCTGCTAAAGGAAGATGACACGACTCGGAGCAACTCCCAGGCCCCCCAGAATTCGGACTCTTAGGGTTTAGGGGTATATGAGGGTATATGGGAGTCATATAAGGCTGCCTTAAGGGCTCTTCGAGTAGGGCTCCCGAACTTCACGGGTTCCTTAAAAGGGTCTTTTGGGGATTTTTCCGGGGTTCAGACTCTAAGGTATGGGATTCATAGAAGGAGCCTCAGGGTTGTCTAGAATAGGGTTCTATCTTAAAGGGTTCCTTAAAAGGGGTTTGTAAGGGGTATATAGTAGGGTTCTAGGATGTAGAGGCCTTAGTACTTAGAATAGGGTTTTGGGGCCCGTTATGCTGCAATCGTAATAAGGACCCCCCCCCCCCCAACAACACATTTTGGAGTCATAATGTCTAGGGTTCTTAGGGGTTGTAAGGGGTTGGAAGATGTAAGTTGAGGGCTCAAGGGGGGTGTAGGGCCGAGGGAGGGCTTGTGGGACTTGAAAAGAGGGCGCAGCACTTTTCATTGTACCCGAGCAGGTATCTTTTTTTCCGGATTCGGACTGGGGGGTTGTAGAGTTTGGGTGCTTAGGCCTTCAGGGCCGTAAAGCCTCAGGAGGGAAAAATACTCCAAGAGTTCAGAGTGCTCGAGCTGTTGCCGTGGAGGCCCGGGAGGGACCACGGGAAGCTGGGTTTAGGGTGTGGGGGGTGTTGGGTTGGTACCTTCAATGTTTAGGGTCCGGGTTGCCGAAATGAGGGGGTACCTCATTGGGGCCTTGTTAGAAGGGTTCTTTCTTAGTTGGGTGTTCTAATCGGGTAACTCTCTCCCACCCAATTATCGGAAACCCCGTTGTGTAGCACCTGTCTTTCTCAGCAGTCCTTATCATGAGAAGTTGGTTCAGTTCAGTAGACCTTGTAGCTCATCAGCACAGATCAGACTTATAGCTGCCATGGCCGCGGCCGCCACAGTGGTTAAGACAGGGGATGGCCCCGAAGACTTCTTCCACTTGGAGTTCCCTTGGGAGCTGAACAACACAGACTACCTGAGGCGTGTCTTGGCCCATGGCGGCCTGTGTATGAGCAGGCAATTCGGGCCGGACTTCCCCGTGAGAAGGATGGACTTGGGAATGAGATATCCCCAGAAACTATCGACGCGTACTATGCCCTGAAGCATGTCAGGGCGAACATGGACCACTACCTTCGTGTCTTGGATGCAAGCGAGGATTTCTTGATCTCCGCTGTGCAGTTCCTGAACACGGCGCGAAACCGACTGGCGCACGAAAACCTGGCTGGAGGCGTCGCTCGCCTCGACCTGGAGCGATCCTTTGGCATGGCTGGCCGTATCATCGGGGCAGCTGGCGTGCGCTTCGCCCAGGACAACTTGGACCGCCTCCAGCGGCAGTACGACGCGCACCAGCACTCCAAGGAACAGCGTCGGAACGCGGCCCTGCCCAGCGTGCAGACGTAGGAGCTGTGGCAGCGGCCCCCGCGCGCCGAGGCCCTGCGCAAGGTCCTGCGCAAGGCCCTGCGCGAGGCCCAGCGCGAGGCCCAGCGCAAGGCCTAGCGCAGGCAGCCCCGCGGCCAGCCCCGGCGGCCGCAGACGAAGAGCTGGAGTTGCGGGAGGCCCTGCCTGAGTTCGGACCACAGGTGGACATGCTGCGTCAGATTCAGGCAAGGTACAAGGAGCGGCACAACGTGCAGATGTGCTGCGACCTGCAGGAGCTCATAAAGCACATCCAAACCCGTGCGTCCGCTGTCCACCAGCTCGGAGCATCCATTGCTCAGAAGCGCGCTAGCTATGATGATGCATATGCGAAGAACGATTTCCAACGTGTCCAGCAGCTGCAGAGCAACATAAGCCAGGAAAACTACGAGCTGCAGAAGCTGAGACACGTCGCCAAGGGTCTCTGCTGCTTTTTCGGGCAGCCCCTCTACCTCCTTGTGCAGAAGGAAGGAGGCCCACCTGTGCAAGGACACTCGATCTCCAAGCCCTTCCACGGCAGACCTTTTCGCATGGAAAAGACTGGCAAAGGGCGGACTGGAAAAGGGCGGCCTGCCAAAGTGAGCGAAGAAGAGGCCACATACAGACGAGAAGCAGAGGCAAGGTTGCAAATGCCCCGGATGATCTTGTCCCGCGTGTTGTCTTTGCTCTGGGCAGATTGTTCAGCTGCGGAGATGAAACAGGCGGGCTTCCTACAGCATCTAATGCAAAGAGAACGAGGCATACGTCCCCTCCTAGAAGCCGGCTTCAAGGCCTCGGAGTTGTTCCAGGCGGGCGCGACCATGCAGCAACTTCGCGACTCGGGCCTAGGAGGCCAAGACCTGAGGCGGGTATTACAGGAGGTCAAAGGCTCCATGATGATGGTCGACTTCAGAGCGGGCGGCTGCCTGCTCGGGGACCTCGAGGACGCAGGCTTCTCCTTGCCGGATCTGCTCGAGATAACGTCCTCTGCCGACTTCTGTACACCCGCTGACCCGAGGTCCACGATCTCGTGCGGTTGGGACTTGGCAGCGCAGCTGTTCGCTGCAGGCGTTTCGCCGCAGAAGCTCAAGGACCGGGGTTGCCCGTGCCTGGTGTTGGTCCGCGTGCTCAAAGATGCGGGGCAGCCGCTCGCCCAGCTGCGGGCGCTGGGCTTCTCAGCGAAGGAGATGTACTGTGGTGTGCAGCAGTATCAATTTTGCCAGGATAAGAAGGGAACGCGTCTCGAATGTTCCTTGGGCAACCTTGTTCGAGAGGTCGGGCTCACTGCCGAAGAGCTTCGGCGGGAGGCAGGCTGGACAGACGGAAACTTCCGGGCGATGGGGTTCTGATTTCAACAAAAAGCGCGCGTGTGAGTACAGTTGTGCTGCTTTAGATGTGAAGGAAGCTTTTCCCCTGCCGATCCTTTTTGTCGCAGAACTTGTACTATCACCGAACCCCGCTGAGTTTGCTTTTCGGGGGTGTATGTTAGGGCTTGGGGCTTTGGGGTCTAGCTGCCTTTGGTGTTGATTGGAACTTGAGCTTCGGGCTCAGGCTTTTGGGGCCATCTTGGGGCTTTGTATTCTGTTGCTGGGAGGGTTCTGGGAGGAGAAATCGCTCCGGACATTGCGTGTGGAATATGTTTTCTTGGAAGTTCCTGCGCCCTCAGATCTTTATTTATATACTAGTGCAGCGTATAGGGTCCACACAACTCGCTTGAGGCAGTCGTTCTGGAGGCAGTAGGACGATGCTTGAATCTGGGCTTCGCATTGGTGCCTTGGCTCGCAGAAAGCCTAACAATAGCAAGAAGAGGATTGACTAAACTACCACGACGACAACTACTACTACGACGACCGCAGGCACCGCTGCCGCTACTGCTAGGCTTCCGCTATCACTACCACTGCCACCACCACTACTACATGCTGGCTTAGGCACCAGACGAGTGTGACATCCGTTTGTAATTTGCATATAGATCCCTTGTAGGAACCCTTAAAGGAGGCTTTTAACGGAAATTCAGATCCCTTATGGGAACCTTTGAAGGATCCGTTGAAGGACCCCTTTGGAACTCTTATAGGAACCCTTAAAGGAGCCCTTCAAAGGAACCCTCGCAGACGGAAGCGCTCAGAGGAGGAGGGAGATCCCGAAGGCCAAGCTGTACTTACCTTTGGGTTAGTAGGGAATAGGGCTCCTTTAAAAGGATCTATAGGGGTTTAGGGTTCCTTACGGGATACTTACCTTTGGTTAGTAGGGAGTGGAGGATTGGGGTACAATTATAACTACTATTACTACATTTCTCCCATTCCCTACTAACCAAAGGTAAGGCTGTAGACTATCGAAGAGAAAACCATCAAAGATGCAGAGGCCCGAAGTGGGAAATCCTGAAGCCTTAAATGCTAAGGCCCGAAATTCCTTAAACCTCCAGCCGTTTCACTTCAGTTCGGGCCCTGATTACATTTCAACGCAACGAAGCTCTCAAAACAAAGACCCCTAAACCCCAAAATCCTAAAGCCCTAAACCCTAAACTCTGAAACCAACCCTGCAATGCGGGCTTCGTCCTTGCTGGGTAGGAGGGAAAAAACTCTGAAACCCTAAAAATTCAAAGCAAAGAGCACCAAGGAGAGGGCTGCGCAGCAACTCAGATCTTCGAGCTTGGTGGCCCTAGGCCGACAAGGGAGAGCAGCGGAGATTCAGGGTCTAAGGGTTTGGGCCTTGGAGTTATTTAGGGTTTAAGGGTTAAGGGTTTAGGGTAGAGGGGTTTAGGATTCAGGGTTTAAGGTTTAGGGCCTTGGACTTTGAAGGATAAACTTGGGATGGAACCCCGAGTTCAGGGGTCTTGAAAGTGTGTAGTGTAGGGTTTGAATCCCAAGAAGTTTAGACCGAAAACTGTTTGCGATGCTTTTGTGGAAAGCATTTCTTTCGGGATTTAGGCGGTGACGGGATAGGAGAGGCCAAGGGCGCCCATCGGCTGGGCCTGGGCATGCCTGGGCTGGGTGATGGATTCTGGCAGCCTGACTAGAATTTCAGCTTGCCGCAGGCTGGAACAGGGATTGACTCCGCGATTGATATCGGATTCCTCATCATCTGACTCGTAATTACCCGACATCCTTTTACGACCATTATTACGAAGAAGACGACGACCACACAGCTTGCTCCGGCTGCTGCAGGGACTCGGGCCCCCGCACAGGCTATGCGCACGGTTGGGACTAATGATAGTGGTGCTGCAGCTCCTGGTGATTCCGATGTTGTGATAAGGTGATCATATTGGCGCTGCTGCTGCTGCTGCTGCTGCTGCTGCTGCTGCTGCTGCTGCTGCTGCTGCTGCTGCTCATGATGATGATGATGTTGATGATGATGATCACCAGGGAATGCCGGGCGATGTGGGAATGCCTGAACAACATGCGTTGTGCAGGCATGGGAGGTAGTAGCATCATAGACAGAGCATGAGCAAGACAAGCCTAAGACCTATATAAGCCGTAGTGACGTAGTGCGAAGTATCAGCTGCAAAGAAGACAGATCAGGGCACACGTCAACCCTGAGAGCCCCAACAGCTTTCAAAAAGCATCTTATAGTTCGACTCCAGTGTCACAGTGGTCCTGGCGAATGCGGTCCTGGCGAATGAAACTCATTGAGACGTTCACGCATCCTCCATGATGCTTCGGATTGAGCGTTAGTTCTTTGAGCAAGTGAAAGGTGGAGTGTTTAGGATTTCATCACTGTCTGTTGCCTGGCTTGCAGGTAGGTTTCAGGATCGTGGGACTCGGTTTTGCCATGCAGGGTCCTCTGTCAATGATTCAATGATTCACCAGGCCCTATGAGGACAGAAATCAAAACATGGCTTGACCGCGACTTCGTCTGCAGATCGGCATCTGTGGCTTCCTTTGGTTTCAATTCTTCCCACAGTCAGAACTTGACTGTGGTGGCCAGGCGGAATACTCAAGGAAGAACACTCTCGATGTCCACGGGTGAGGGCTTGTGCATTATGCGGTGTTGTTGGGCTTGCAGGTTTGTTGCGATGAGGCTCCAGATTGAGGTCGTAATCGAGACTTAAGTACGTCTCCATCGCAAGAGATTTTCGTCACATGTTGAGTAGCTAGCAGTGTCAGCCAGAGTTGGCCTTTGAGACAGTAGCCATTAGCGGAACGTCATAACACATCCGCACGTTTAAGCCTGCTGCCAAAACAGAAGCGCTCAAATCCGAAGCTGAACTAATGTAGGGGTCGTAGCAGTTGGCAAGTTCATTCGTTCCTTATTGTCAGTCTCGTATAAAGAACCCATCAGGCCCAGGCATCAGTTGAGGACAGCTGGAGGCTGAAGAGCTTTACTCCAAGTCTATGCTGGCTACTGATATTCGTCTTGTTGCTGTTATTGACGTACTTTAGTATTTGTTTTACGTTGTGTTACAATCGGCTCTTGTAGTTATTATAGTTCTTATACACTAACCGTAATTCTTGTAGTTTGCTTTTGGTTGGTTGAGGTCTTCGCACCGTCGCCGAAGAGCTGCAGATGCCGACACCTTGGCTTGAAAGAGCGTTCGCAGTTCGGGACTTGGTCTGGGAGCTTTGGTTTAAAATAGTAGGTTTTGGGTTTAGGGTTCCCTAAACCCTACCCTAAAACCCTAAGATCAGATTGAGCTAGACATGTACCCATGACTGCGGAGCAGCTCCGGTCGAGGGGTCAAACCTGAGGCTTTTATCACAGCAATGAACCCGGTCCACCGAGGAATGACAAGAAAATGCTGCAGTCCTTCACGAGGCCTTCTTTAGGGTTTCAGACCATGCATTTTTTCCCGACATGCAGACTAGGAAGCTGCACTCGTGACGCTGGTCAAGCTACCTGCGTCTATCTTATAAAATACTTGGGTTTGTAAGACTGTATTTTCTGTCATATTACATACCCATGTGGATGTCTTGTTTTTGCACGTCTGTCCAGTTAGTTATGTCTGCCCATGTCTCTCCTCTCTCTCTCTCTCAGTTTGCATCTTCACACCTCCTAAGCCCAAGCCTTCTAAATCCCAAATCTTTTGGGTTACTTCATAGCTCCACAACGCATGATCACCCACAAATCGAGTTTTGATGTTGTGTCGACCCGGAGACTGCACTCGCGCTGGGGATGCAACTTTTGAAGCTTAATAGGGACAAGGTTTGGGTCTTAAGGTTGAATATTTATTTAGGAATGTTCATCTGCCACCTTGGCGGCCCTCGTGCCGTTCAGTATGCTTTTTGCCAAGACTTGCTGACCAAAGCCACGAAGCCTAAGCACTCTTCATCTCTCCCAGCTGTACCTTCGCAAGCAGCCGAGCCCGAGCCCAACCTCTAATTATCGACTCGCGACATGGTTGGGCTCTTTGCTAGGGTCCCCTTTAAGGGTATACTTCAGCAGTGTTCTATAACAGGGTAGCGCCTCCTCCTTTCCCAGGCTTCGTGCTCCGCTCCGGGCGGCCATCGCAGTTTCCCAGCGCAAAAGATCTTTTGGATCTCCCAGCAATTCCAAGTTCCAAGCCGGCCTTCTACCCCCAAATTTTGGGAGGCTTCTCTTCATCTGCTTTTTCCATGCCTGAAGCCTCTTACCTTGGCCCTAAACCACATGCAACAAATCCCCAAACAGCGTGCCCGTTTGCGGTTTGCGTTTTTGCCGCCCAGCTCCCAAGATCAGACTCCTGGTTGAGAATGCTTTACAGTAGTCTTTCAGGGTTAGGGCTTCAGGGGTTGTGGGTTTGGGGTTTATGCCAACTTCTCGTATCATCACCATCAGCATCTCGTCATCATAGAACTGCTGTCGTTACTATTTTGTCATCATTCATTCTTATCAGTGTTGGAAGTATCAAATGAACGCTTGTCCTACAATTGTCTCTATTCTGCTTTTCAACCATTACAGATTATGCAGTTCATCGGTACTTCTTACCCTAAACCCTAAGCTTAAACCCTAAAGCGCCATCCTGCCTTGCGAGTGGGGAAAAAACCACCGGCACTGATCCAAGGCTCGGCTACGTGGACTGAGCTGCGGCCTCCAGCGTCGCTTGATCTGATTAGGGCTATAGAGTTTTAGGGTGATGGTCTCAGAGCTCTAGATTCTAGGCCTATGGGCCACAGGTTTATGGCTTAGGGTAGAGGGCCTTTCGAAGTCGAACGCGGAAAGAGCTATTATCACTGCTGCCAGCAAGGCGTGTCAAACGCTTTGTCCGATGCCGCTGCCCTCGATGAGGCTGCCGAGAAGGCTAGATCGGGTGTCTTGATCACGGGCTTAGGAGTTTGGGGTTAAGACCACAGGTTCTCTAGCACTCAGATGTGGTGATGTGTGCCTCTAGCTCCGGCAGGCCGTCTTCGGGGGATTTCATTTGAGTGTTCAGGAACTGCGATATTTGTCGTCATCTTTGGAACTCGGGCCTTCCAAAAGCAAGTCTCTAAGGAGCCTTTGATTGCTTGACCCAGTCCTCCTCTGGTTTCAAGCTGGGCTCCACAACTTCTGCGAAGTATATCGACTTGAAAGCGACCATTGTTCTGTAAATCTGGACATACAGTTTTTGTCGAGCCACGAGGGTTTGGAAGGGTTGCTTCCAGCTCTAGAGTCCGCATGTGGACAGCCGTGCTGAATTGGAAGTCTCTCCCTCCTCTTCCCCGCTCCTCGCACTCTCTCTCCGTTCCCCCCCTCTCTCCCTCCCTCCCTCCCTCCCTCCCTCGCTCTCTGTCTCTCTCTCTCTCTCTCTCTCTCTGGCTCTTTGGCTCTCGCTGTCTCTGTCAAACTCTCTGTCTGATTTCCACCACAGGCCACGTAGCTTGAACATTGAAGGCAAGTGGTGTGTAAGCCCGCCGGAAGTTGGTGCGGTGCTGTAGCTGAATCCCACATTCAGTGTCGGAAGAATTGTCAACGCCTGCTGCAGGAGTTGCTTGTGGTGTAGTGGCTTGGGCAATTGGCATCACTTGTGTTGGGAATGTCGCGCTTGTCCGTTTGTTGATTCGCGTCCTCCTGTTCCGCGTTGCCGCCTGTTAAGGCGTTTTGGTTGGGGACCCAAACGTGATGTTAATGTGGTCCTTCCTTGGCTTGCACAGATACAAGAGTGTGTGTGGAAGGCAAGGTGGAGGTCGTAACTTTGTTGTGAAGGTCGTTTGGTGCTTGGTTGTTTTCGTCACGCCCGCTCAGGCTTTGGTTTCTGTGTGGGCGGCTTGTGACTTTTTGTGGACTCTCGTGTCGGGGTCCCCTCTCGCTGGCCCAGGCTCTTCCGTGCCTGTCGTCTGTGAGCAGGGGCCTCTGCTGGCTTGCCTTGGCTTGGTTTGTGTTCCAGGCTTGGCTTGGTTACTCCCTGTGCTGGTTGACAACATGAGTTGTCTTGCGTTGCCTTCGCTTTACTGCTGGCTGCGCCTTGCACTCATGTCACATGGCCACCCCTCCCTTTTGATGTGAGGGGCCCACAGGTGTCCTGTCCATTTGGGGGCTGCCGGCACCAGAACAAAGTTAGTTAGTTAGCCTGCTGCAGGAGCCTGGTGTCTACAGCAGACTTGCCACCGAAGCGGGGACGGACAAGCCGAAGGATCTCGAAAAGGCTTATACGCCCTCGTCTCCATGAAGCTCTCCGCTGTTCACTGACTTTTGCTTCTGTGCGTAGGTGCCTGTAGGTGCTGCCTGTTGTCAACTTGGTCCGTCTCATCTGCTTGAAAGCAGGAGCTTGAAGCCAGAGACGATGCTCAGGCACCGATGAAGGCCTCTGCTGTGTCCATCAGTGGTCCGAATGCATCACCTAGACCGAGATTCTGCAGCGGCATCTCAACAGCTTCAAGTTTTGGAGGCGGCACCGCGCCGTGGAATACTCGGGGCGTGGTTGGCCGCTGCCTCGCATCCTCCCGCTGCAGCTGATGATGTTCGCTACAGCTCACGGCACGTGTCCGGCCAGGCACCGTGGACAAGCATGTTCCAGCAGGATGAGGAGGTGACGGAACATCCAGTCATTCCTTTGTCTCCGAGTGTTTCGTCATTCTGGGAGTCAGTGATAGCACGTACCTGACACAAAGCTGAACCCTTTCTTGGATCCTAGCGGAGACATGCCTCACAGCTCTCAGATCTTGCAACTGCGCACCCCTATGGCAGGAGGATACCGCATGCGAGGTCTGCACCGAGGCAGAGGCCTCATCCAAGGGCCATAGCCAAAGTGCAGCCCTACTATCTGCGTTTTAGTGCTACTTGTAACTCCACCTTAGGACCTAGACTTCTCCGGGAGGGAAGGTGGCTGTTTGGCACCTTGTGGACACTGCTCGGACACCAATGCAAGAATCCTCAAGCCATCATGCTACCTTCGAAGGACCTTCGACCAAGCTCCGAGCAGCCTTGCCTCGCTGATGCCTTACGTCCCTCTGTGGAATCTGCTGTGGGTGTGGCTATGTGGGAGTTTCCGAAAATAGGGTACCCTAATCTGGTACCCTAAATAGTAGGATCCTTATGCCATTTTGGCTCAAGTCCGCCGTCAGCTGGCGTGTGTGCCCCTGGAGCGCGGTCGCGCCTTCCGGGCCGCGTCGGGCAGGCTTGAGCTCTCCTCCTCCTCGTAGTCCTGTTCTGAGGCCTCCCGGGTGCATTACTCCACCAGTCCCTCTCGTCGTGTCGTCGTTCGTCGGGATGGCGGGGTCGGACGAAAGTACGCTCCTGTTGCCCCACCTGCACCGTTCCGAACAACTGGAGGGGGGGGGGGGGGGGTGGATGACGCTGGGACGCCAATTAGCTCAGGGGCTCTTCTGGGGGCCGAGCAGCCCGACATGGTTATGCAAGAAGCGGCCCAGGATGCGCTCCGGGCCGCCTTGGGGGATGCCGTGGGTGGGCCGTGTGATCCTGGACCGGGGAGAGGGGTGGGGCTGGCGGAAACTGAAGCCAAGCAGGCTGAAGCAGCAGCGGTGGCCGCTAATCTCCTTGCTAAACACCAAGCCACCCGAGCCCCCAAGTCCTCGCCTAAAACAAGCCCCGAAAAGAAAGCACGACCTCCGACCCTCGATCCCGCTGCCGCCAAAGGACCGCCAGTGGGGCTGCAACCCCCTCCCCTTTTTGGGGGGGGGCCTGTCCCCCCCGACAAGAACAAACGCCCGCTGCCACAGGAGTACGACATTGGTGATGATGTCCCCCCGCCGTGGGCAGCCTCACTTCAGGCGGGCATCGACCGGCTTCATCGAGGACAACACGAGCAGATGCAGGCCATCCAGGTCACTAGAGATTCCATTCAGGGAGTAGCAGATAAGGTGCAGTCTTTGGAGTCGAGGCAGGATTCGCACTTAGAACGAACTGCGGCTCTTGAGCTCCGTTTGGCGGCTATGGAACAGGAGATGAGGGATTTTCGCTCTAGGTCTCCTAGTGTCACCTCAGCATACACTCCGACGCATTCACCTCGTGGGGCTCGTGGGAATCCCGCGCATGATGATTGGCAGGTTGTTTTAGGCGGTTGGAAGGATGCGAAACGCGAGGACATCGAACAAGAAGTGAGAGACTGGTTCACGAGAGCTGAGTGTGGCCCTCTCCTGCAGGCCATGCATTGCAGCTCGGTGCGTTCCAACACGTGTAGGGTCGACTTGCTGTACATGCAGGATGCCATGGCAGAACGACGTAAGGTCCAAGGCATGTGTGTTGAGGCCCTCCGAGCAGTTGCTCAGCCAAGCTCCCTTCCAGGGCAAGGGACGGGGGCACTTTGGGCAAAGCGAAACCGTAGTCCTGAGGAGAGAGCCCGTATTCGAGCCATAGTGTCCCTCAAGGCTCTTGTTGCCAAACATTTGCCCCCCAGGGACTTTGAGTTTGACTGGCGTGGAAGGTTCTGGGCTAATGGGGTCAGTGTGCTTGCCCACGTGGACCAGAAACGTCCGGATGATGGGGCTCTGTTGTTGCTTGATGTACGGGGCCACGAAACGGGATGGTGGGTCCCGGGTCCCCTTCTCGCTCGAACTTTGGGGATTGATCTCAAGGTCTTGCATACACACTTCGAGGTTGAGGCGTCAGGATCCCCCTAGGAGGGTGGCCGGAACAGGAAACGAGGGCGACCCCTCAAACCCGAATTCGTAGCATGTACCTGGAATCTTCATGGTAAAAGTCTCCGTGAGGTTGCTGATCTGTGGCAGGGGACTGTCCCATGCCCTGACTTTCTTTTTGTGCAGGAATTAGGTGCTTGTCCTGGGGCCACTCCTGAGGTTCAGGTCTCGGATTTTTGTTTTGGGTCTGTACCCTACAAGATGTATCACTGCAGCGCGCCCGAAGCACACCTCAACCAGGCTATTCTTGTCAAAACCGAACTGGAATTCCATGCGACACACAAGTCGGGGCTTCCCGTTGGTCTTGTCCTGCATGGTGCATGTCGGAATCACCGAATTCATTTGGCATGTTTGCATTTGCCCCACAGTAAACGGGTCAGCACCGAAGCTAAACCACGATCTTCTGCAGAGGAGGTTTGGAAGGACACCTTGGAGCTACTGGATTCTCAACTGCAGGATACAGGTGGCGAGGCCATGGTCATCGTCGGCGGTGATTTCAACCAGGACCTTCATGCCAGCTCGGACACCTTTTCGGGAATGGGGCTTCTGAGGGCTCTGCTTCAGAAACATAGCCTCTCGTTGCATCGTTCCGTGGGCATCACTTGGACGGCCCGTGGGGCTGCTAGCGAAATCGACGCTGTCCTGGCTCGTGTCCCTAGAAGTCTCACGTATGCTCACAAGCGGGATGACATTCGACTGGCGCTCCCCTCGGACCACTGCCCCGTCTTTCTGAGAATTTGCACCCCGATGCCGCTGCTCCACAGAGGCACACGCCCCACCACCAGGTGTGGCCGGTGGCTGCCCAGCATTCCGGAGCTGGAGAGCTATGCGGCCTCGGACATGGAGTTTGGTCCCTCTCGCATGTCTGAGTTGTGTTTAAAAGCCGAGCGAGTTCCTTCCCTTCGATACCAGGACTCTTCGGACCTTAAGGCCCTTATTGCAACCAGACGTGCCTGCCAGGACCCTCACACGAGAGCGAGCATGTTGTCCGAAATACGGGCACGCCGAACCAACGATCGGCACGAACACCAGTTGAACATTCTGCAGCGAGCCAGGGAAGGGGATAGGCAGGCTATCACGTACCTCCGAAAGAGTGCCGCGCATGCTTCGTTTGAAACCAGCTACATTGAGCAAAGAGGGGGGCAACAAGCGGCCAGCTTGGAACTCCGGCAGTTCTATGACCGCAAATACGCTTCCCTCCTCCCGCCTCCCACCGAGGAGGCG